GTGGCTGTGTGAATGAGGGTGCTGGTGGGAGAGGTGGGGGTTGATGGGGGAGAGGTTGGTTGGAGAGGCGACAGAGAGGGCGGAGAGGTTGAGAGAAAGGTTGGTGGAGCGGTCCTGCTGCTGGTTGGGGTAGTAGGTGAAGTGGGAGTGGTCAGAAAGAGAGGAGGGTGGCGAGACGGGAGATGGGAAGGTGGAGGACGGAGAGTGGGGCTGCTGCTGGGGATGTGTGGGGGTGAGGAGGTTGGACCACTGGCGCTGCTGGGAAAAGTCGTTGTTCATCGGGTAGTCCATCGAGTGGGGCGAGGAGGACGACGATGGCGACGATGGCGACGACGACGATGAGAGAGAGAAAGAAAGACGGATCGAGGAGAGTTATGATATTTGAGAGGATGCGTGGTAGTCGCGTTTCGAACTTGCGTGTGTGCACGGACTCGTGCGACGATCTCAGTTTCTTCAGCGATGGTCGACAGCAAGGTTTGCTCTAATGTACGCTGCCTTGCTGTATCCTCGGCACACTCGGCAAAGGCTGTGTGTTATGGCATGTGTACTCGATCTCTGCCACCTCCACCTCCACCACCACCCGTACTCGTCCATGGCTCTGTTCGCCGGCATAGGTCTCTCCTCTCTCCTCTCTCGTACCCATACCCCCCGCTCACCCACTTCTAGCTTGCTTCAGTCGCAACGTGCCCCCTCATCTCATCGCTGCCTGGTGTACGTGACCTCACCGCTCTACGTCCCTGTGTTCGATCGGGCACGCAGATCCGTTCTTCATTCAACAACACCGCTTTATCCAGCGATATCAGAATACTCACCACTCATCTCACAGCCGCACACGGTGGCTCACTGGCACCCACGCCCACACACCGCGCTGCCGCCTCTTTCTTTTTCTGTTCCGGTCCCAATGATCCTTGGCTCTCCAGGTTCGTGCATTCTTTCATTTTCATCCCTTTCCGTCTTCATCCCTCTTCGACGTCCTCGATCCTTGCCTCTTTCGGTACCCTTCTTTTCAACCCCATCACCTCATTTTCTTAACCTATCACCATAAACAAATACCTACCATACCCGTGTAAACCCAGCCTTTGTTCGTCAATTTCATATTTCACGCGCATATATCCTGCTATCTATACACGCTAACAAACTACCTCCTCACATACCCCTTTTTCGTGCTCTATCCAACATCTCCATACGACCTCGACCTCTATATGCGCATACATTCCACCCCTCCTTTCTCTTCTCACTATTCACACCCGTATTCTAACAACTTCCATCAAAGCAGCCTAGTTGCAAACTCAATCGTCGTACGTCCTCCTACCCTCTTCCTTCACTAATTTATTTTTCATTTCTTCTATTCCTGTCCTTATCTTTATATCCCATACCTAATATATAATCATTCACTTTCCATCCCGTTCATCTAATCAGCCCCTCCACGCGTCGTGGATCTCCCATTCCGTCGATGACGCCTTCAAGCTTCCAGTGGCTCAATACGTACTGGACGGTGCGTGTTCCCCTCACTTATTTTTGGTTCTTTGATCTGCGGTGCAAAACCAGCCGCGCATTCAAAGTCCCTCAGCACTGACATTTTCCTACCCTTTTCATCATATCTTCATTGCACCTCCACCGATCTCGATCTCGATCTCATACTCTACTCGCCGCTCACACCAACCGTTGATCGTCCAACACAATCGACCATCAAATGCACGCATCGATCTTTATTTCGGATAAAACAAAAACGGAACAAAACAAAACTTGATTGTATATGAAACGTCAATATGGACCTGAACTCTTCCATATTCGCGCCCCGTACACCTCTTGTATGCTATACGTCGTGTCTATATGTAGAATCGTTCGAGCCATGCAAGATCGAGAAACGGAGGGTGTTGGGGGATGAATGTGATGAGACACTCGTTTCCTCGCTCATGTCCACGGTGACATCCGCGTTGGCGTGCCCAAAGCCAGAACGAAGCGGCGAGCTTGAATTCTACAGGGTCGAGGAACGATCAGACGCTAGAGATCTCGACATGAATGGCAAGGCTGAGATCTGTCCCGGCGGTTTCAAGGTCAAAGTCGAAATAGAAGCGGGGATCGCACGCGGACATGAATGCCAACTTGAAAACGGACAATATGGGTGCGACGATGATGAGCTCGAAATTGAAAGGATGCTCGATGATGAAGAAGTTCAGCCCGAACTTAAACCCAAGCGCTTCATGGAGCAGCACAGGTTATGCAACTATAACCTGTCCGTCCCTGCTGCTCCTGTTAATGGAAAAGAATGCAAACCGAAAAATGCCCTTCCGCTCGATGTGCCAACCAAGGAACAGGAACACCCGTTTGCGCTCAGCTCGGTCCTCGCGTCCCACAGACGCACACGCACGGAACGTGAGTATGAGGTGGGGCGTGAAAAGCCAAGGAGGGAAGACGCATGGACGGTGCGCAAACGCAGGAGCGTCCACTTTGCAGGATTGAGTTCACGCACAGATTCTGGTACGAGTACTGATATCAACACATCGGCACCTCTTCTGCAACTTCCCCAAGTAAACCAAACCCAAGAAACGCACACGTGGGATTTTCTCTATGACCTAGCTCGCGATGAAAACGTCCAGGACAGGATGGACCGGTATATGGTTGATGATGCAGGGGTGTTGAGGCTCGACATGAGAGACGTGTTGCGCGTTGCGAGGGATGGTGCTGATGCTAACCGCGATCATGGCCTTGGTAGGTTGGGAGGTGGTAGAATGGGAGAGTGTGTGAACCCGACATTGTTTGTACTGGGTGCGGAGGTTGGTGGAAAGAAATTTGGATATGGCGGGAAAAGGAAGGATAAGGACCAAAGTAAGGCCAAGGTCAGGGGAAGGAATGTTAGGCCTATCACTGTGAGGACGTGATTGGGTGAATATGTTTGAGGGTAACAAGTCTCAAAGGAGGTACTTTTTTTTTGTTCATTTTCTTGGTGGTAAGAATCGTTAACATCATTTAATTTCGTTTCCCCCGCTCCCTTCGTCGTAGTCTCAAGAACTGTCAACATGTCAACTTCTGATTATGGGGTTTATGTAAGCTATTCTGCGTTACTGTACGATAAAGTACTATGTATGCGTTCAGGGATTGGAGGTGGTTTTCTGCTTTTATGTGCCTAGCTTAGTAGCTGTGTAACTATAGATGTATCACTTGAATGTTGATGCATTGGACATGGTATCTGATAAGATAAACGCATGATCTATCTTATCTAACACAGCCCCGTAAAACAAATTTTGTAAGGTTCAAGATGAAGAGAATTGCAGAGGTCAGCGTCGTTCTTGATTATCACTGGGAGAAGTATCTCCACAGTATTCACTATCAGGCGCTCATGAGAAGATAAGTACGATTGGGAAGTCAATGTGACACATTGATAACGACAAAGACTCTCGACCCACCTCCATCTCCCTTGCCTCGCAGCTCAGGGCTGAGTTGAGTTGTCACGGTGTGCCCTCATACGTACGTCGAGCGCTAAGCTATATGACTCGGGTTTCACTGACATCATCTTTGTCTGCTAAAGTTTGCGTCTGGTTCTTTTGGCCCGATTGGAGCATAACCTTAGGCTTTGTTTTGGTTGTGAATGCTCTACCAGTGAACTCAACTTCAGCACACTCGTCGTCTCCAAGTAACTTGACCTCACATTATGTCCAACTCAACCACTAGCATTCTATTCACCCTCCCTTTCTCGTTCCAGTTCCCCAAAACCTTTTCATTCCCACAAATTCTTGACAACTTGAACCTCTTCTCTCTGGTCAGCCTTGAGCGGCGTGATACCACGCTGTTGGCGGGTGTTCTAGTGACAGCTACTCCATTTCTATATTATTATGGAGATGACATATTGCGGTTTATCAAAGTAAGTTTGCTTTAACGGGTCTCGCTTTTATCCCTCAAACTCGTCTTTGGCTCTACTATCTACTATCACCAATTCCCCGGTCCTCATTAGTTCTAATTCTCTCATCGTGGTGCTCTATGAGATGGTCAAGTAAGCAGTGATGCTGATTTCATTTGTGGGACGTGGTATAGGTCGTGTTGTCTCAACTAGGTCTTGGCAGTGGTCTCGTAAGCGTCCCAGGGCCCTCGACCGACACGCGGTTTTTGAGATTCTCGCATGGGTGAGTTGTCTCAACTTCTCTCTCTCTTCCTTGAATCGGTGTTGATGAATGATGGTGGAGGTGGATAATTACTATTTTCATTTTCGACCCACATTTCTCGAATGTTTGGACAACTTGAGCTCGAATCTGACATGTTTTATTTGTTCCTTGAAGCGACGTGATGACAACCGACTACCTCAAAGCGTACGGGCCATTGTACAAGATATTCTCTGGCTCGATGACAGAGCTGTAAGTCCTTCTTTATACACCTTAGAAAACGCATCGTTCCGCTTCCTTTCTTGAACCCGTGCCTAGTAAACTGGTTGGCTGATGATGACTTGGATAACTTGTAGCGTTTTGACACACCCTGAGGACGTACAGTCGTTTTACCAGGGGGACGCGAAGGCCCACCCGAAGATGCCAAATGTTGGGTTTGGGCACTATATGGGCCGGTATGTCCCTTTCCTCTGTTCTGTCCTCCCCTCCCTCCCTCTCATCCCCACCTCCCACACATAACGTCTCTAATCAATACATTAACCACATACGTAACACTAATCAAATGCACTCATCGACCAGAATCCTCGGTGAATGCGTGGGTTTCAAACACACTGATGACTGGCGACGTATTCGATCACACACAGATCGCCACTTCACGGCTTCAATTGCTATAGAATCTATCCCCGTATTGATGAAGGATGTGAAAGAATGGTTTGATGGACTGGAGGGGAAGGGATTTATCAAACCAATCAGCGAGAAAGGGAAGAAGATGGAGGTGATGGCATCGGATTTGTTCTGGGATATCCCGTTTAAGATGATTTCGAAAGTCATCTTTGGGGAGATGTTAGATGACAACGTAAGTTATTCATTCCCTCATTCACGCGAGACTGACAGGCCATTTTTTTTTCCCCCTTCATTTCAGCTCTTCAAAGAACTGTGGAGCTACAATGGACTGCATGAGCGGCTGATGATGACAAGTTTCTTCGGGAAGCTGGAGCAGTGGGCCTTGTCTTCGTATCTTCCGACGGCGGCGAATCGTGATATGGCGGCGTTCCAACGAGGGTGGGGAGATTTGCTGAAGAGGGTTAGTAACGAGGCTTACGAGGTGTGTTCCTTTGTGTGGAACTTGTGTCTTCGTTCATTGAATATGTATTACTTGGATATTTTAGAAGGGCATATTTATGCCTGTTGGCGAGATGTATAAAAAGGTCCTAGACGGAGAGATGACGTTTCCCGAGTTCACCCATACGATCGATGAGACGTTGTTCACCAACATTGGTAGGCATTTTTATTTGGATTATAATTAGCTGTTATAACTGTTGCTTTTTCTAGATGCTACAACTGTCTCGATCATGTGGGCGGTGACTCTTGTAGCGCAGCATGAGGAAGTGCAAGAACGTTTGTTGAGCGAGATCGCGCAGATATGGGAACCTGAAGGAGATGAGGAGGACCAGTTGAACCTGTACTTGAAGAGGACGGATACGCTGCTCCACCACTGTTATATGGAGTCTGGAAGGCTGCGTCCTATCTTGTGTGAGTACCACTCTGATGTCAGATTCCATATTTTCTCACCAAGCACGGGCTGCTCGGTAACGATAGTTTACTCCATGTCTGAACAAACCGCCGACTCAAAGGTCATCCGCGGACACGTCATCCCAGCGGAAACGTCCATTCTCATCAATGGCCACGCGCTCAACCGCGTCTCTCCCATCTGGAGTCCTGACGGGGATGTTTTCCGTCCCGACCGTTTTGCCTCACTTTCACCCGCTGTTTACCGCTACTCGTTCTGGCGATTTGGGATGGGTCCGCGGAAGTGCCTTGGGATGCATTTTGCAGACAAGGTTGTAAAATGCTGCTTGTTCGAGAGTGTTAGGAGATATAAGATTAGTGTGCGGGGCGAGGTAGATGTGAGGAGGGATAGATTTGTGCAGATGCCTCTGGCGACACTTGTTTTTGAGCGTCATTAGGATTTATGGTGCTCTGGAGGGACATGGTGTCAATGTACTTGTGTTTCTTGCTTTTATGTCTGGCTGGCTATTTGTATGTACGATGCACCGAATATGTGTGATTAGCTAATAGCGAGTCTATTTTTGGGTGTTACAGCGGTCGCAGTCGATTCTGAATTGGACACGTCGACTTTCCGTTCCACTCGAAATTGCCCTTTTTCTGTTTTACACCACCCACCACTGGTTTTCTTTTCTTTATACGTCGTCGATTGTCTGTCCAAAGGCCATGACAGAGGCCTACCCACTCCCTTCACACCTTTCGCCGGCGACGGTCGCCAATACCGCTTCACTTCTGCGTATCGTTGCATTAGCTTTAATATCTGGTGCTGCCATTGCTTCACGTCTCTTTGCTGTCGTCAATTTCGAAAGTATCATTCATGAGTTGTGCGTATGTTCCCTTACTCAATTTGCTGCTCGTCTCACCCTTTGTCTTCCCGCCAGCGATCCATGGTTCAATTAGTTAGTACTACCAACTTAACTAGCTAATATTTTGTGAGCTGAGCACAATACAGTCGCGCCACTAAAGTATTGGCCTCACAAGGCTTCTATGTATGCTCACTTCTGCAACTCTTTCATGTTCTGTGTCCTCACCGAGAGATTGTAGGAATTCTGGAATTGGTTCGACCCCACAGCCTGGTACCCTCTAGGTCGAGTGGTTGGTGGAACTATCTACCCAGGACTCATGGCCACCAGTGGTGTTATTTACAATTTCCTCCACGCACTGAACTTGCCCGTCGATATTAGGAACGTCTGCGTTCTTCTTGCACCCGGCTTCAGCGCCCTCACCGCGTGGGCTACCTATATGTACGTGATTCTTGTCTCGGCGTCAAAAAGTGGAGTAATGTGAATGGACCTTGGGTTTATCTCATAGGTTCACGAAAGAGTTGAAAGATGAAAGCGCCGGTCTCCTTGCTGCGGCTTTCATTGGTATCGTTCCCGGATATATCTCCCGTTCCGTCGCCGGCTCTTACGACAACGAGGCTATCGCTATCTTCCTCTTGATGTTCACGTTCTTCAGCTGGATCAAGGCCTTGAAGCAGGGAAGCGCGTTCTTCGGGACTATAGCTGCCGTTTTCTACTTTTACATGGTGGCCGCGTGGGGTAAGCGGATATTATATCGTCCGTAGTCGTACGTGGATCTCATGGTGTTAATTTACACTAGGTGGTTATGTGTTCATCACGAACATGATTCCTCTCCACGCTTTGGTTCTGTTACTCATGGGCCGCTTCACGAGCCGCTTATATGTCGCGTACTCGTCGTGGTATGCCATCGGTACCCTCGCGAGTATGCAGGTCCCTTTTGTAGGTTTCCAACCCGTACGAACGAGTGAACATATGGCTGCTCTTGGTGAGTACAAGCTAATTTTGGCAATGTCTGTGCGGCCTCTGAATATATGCAGGTGTATTTGGACTATTGCAGATTGTTGCCTTTGCACAGCTTGTTCGCGCTCACCTTTCCTCTAAACAATTCCAAAACCTCCTTTTTGTCTCTGTCATTGCCGCCGGTATACTCGGTGCTTTAGGAATTGTCGGTGCTACTTACAAGGGTTGGATCGCTCCCTGGACTGGCCGTTTTTACTCCCTCTGGGACACAGGCTATGCCAAAAAGTGAGGGTCATCTGTATTTTCGCCTGAATCTTAGCTGACAAACATGCCTAGATACATTCCAATCATCGCATCCGTGTCTGAGCATCAACCAACCGCATGGCCCTCATTTTTCATGGATTTACATTTCTTGATGTTCCTTTTCCCAGCAGGTGTCATCCTCTGCTTCCGCGAATTCCGCGATGAGCATCTTTTCGTGATCATCTATTCACTCATGGCCAGCTACTTTGCAGGGGTGATGGTCCGGTTAATGTTGACACTCACCCCCGTCGTGTGTGTGTCTGCGGCAGTTGCTCTGTCTACACTCTTGGACACGTATCTTGATCCGAAGGAGCCCGATACTGCGAACGATAGCAATAATGAGAGTGATGCCGGAACTGTCGCATCAAATGGCGCTTCAACTAGCGCTGCTACATCCTCTTCGAAGAAAACGAAGAAAGACAAGGAAAAAGTGGCTCAAGCTCCTGCTGGTGGTGCATTAGGCAACTTGGTCACTGGCGTTGCTTCATCTGCTGTAGCGGCGAAGAAGGGAGAGAAGGCTTTCGCCGCTAAAGGCATATTTGGACTTGATACTCGTTTTGCCGTTCTTATCAATGTGTTGGGCATGTTGTTCTTCTTCGTCGTGCACTCTACATGGGTAACATCGAACGCGTATTCATCTCCCTCTGTTGTGCTTGCCTCGCATAACCCGGATGGAAGCCAGAACATTATTGATGACTTCCGCGAGGCGTATTATTGGTTGCGTCAGAACACTGCTGAAACAGCTGTTGTCATGAGTTGGTGGGATTATGGGTACCAGATTGCAGGTATGGCTGATAGGCCGACATTGGTCGACAATAACACCTGGAACAACAGTAAGTTTTTTTCCAGACGAATCACCTCAACTTGCTCAGCAATGACCTCCATTTCTATTTATAGCCCATATCGCCACAGTAGGAAAGGCCATGTCGAGCAGCGAGGAAGTTGCATACCCAATCCTGCGCAAACATGACGTCGATTATGTTCTTGTCATCTTCGGTGGCCTCGTCGGGTACTCAGGCGACGATATCAACAAGTTCTTATGGATGGTTAGGATCGCACAGGGTGTTTGGCCCGACGAGATACAGGAGCCGAATTACTTCACTGCTACCGGAGAGTACAGGGTTGACGATCAGGCCTCGCATGCGATGAAGAACAGCCTGATGTACAAAATGTCGTATTACCGGTGAATATCCTTCGTTCTACCTACCTTGGACAAATGCTGATAAACCGTTCCTATGCTTTGTATCATGTAGTTTCGCAGAACTCTTCGGAGGCAGCCAAGCTCAAGATCGCGTCCGTGGACAAATTATGCCGCAAACTGGCCCGACTCTCGATTGTCTCGGTGCGTATTATTTCGATTACTCGTCATTTCTTCAAGTTCTGATGCGCTTTCGTGCAGAGGAAGCATTTACATCAGAGAACTGGATAGTAAGTTTATTTCACATCGCAGGGAAACACAAAGAATAACGTTGTTGATGCCGCCTTATTATAGGTCCGTATTTACGAAGTCAAAAAAGAAGACTTACTGGGTCGCGATCTCAAAAGTGCAAACGCTTTCGAGCAAGGAAAGAAGCGCAAGCGCACCAAACCTCTTTCGAGACGGAAAGCTATCGTGTAAAAGTATTTCTAGTGCCATAAAAAATACATGTTCGTTTTGTTGCATTTCCATTCAGTTGCTTGAATGCACGTCGAAAATAAACGAATGAAGCTCCCAATTCCTTGCATAAAGTGGTTAAGCAACTTGATATTGATACAGTGATGACCATATCGTCAGTGTCATTCTGTCTTACATTTTTGCTTTCAAACTAAATGTCATGCATGTCACTGAATTACAATATATAATGGTCATCTAATGGTTGCAACTACAGTTCATCCCTCGGAGACTCCTGTCTCATATAATCAGCTGTCCCATCCAAAATTGAATCGAAAAACTGGGACAGAGGTTCGAATTTGTTCAAGCCTAGACATGTGTTAAAAGAGATATGCACAGTTCGCAAACAATCATACCGTCATATAATTTAGGTTCTTCAGAACCAGCCAGATAGACGAGGACCTTTGACTGTTTTTCCTCGGCCTCGAAACCCAATGTAGCAGCAGTATTTCCGCTAGGATCACTGTGATGACCGAACGAGAGTTTTTTCCAGTAGTTATTTCCTAGAACTTGCCACAGTAGAGGCGATTTCTTATCCTTGTTGAGGAGAATGACGCGAGGAGAATAGGAGTTCTGCAGAGGACGTCGACTGAAATCCTGAAACGACAACTGGGAAGTAAACGTGCCTACCTTGCCCGCCCAAGTAGAAATGTCATTTGAAGTAGGTAGGTTTTTTACTTTGTTAGGTACGCCATCGGATGCCCAACGGATGATCCTTCCAGACGTTCGCTCTTGTTGGTTGTAGTCTTTGGCGGGTGCTTGATTTCCACGAGGGAATAACTTTCGTTTCAGTAATGTTGAGTATATTTCTGCTGACAGCAATGGTACGGCAGTTCAAACCTTAACTGTAGGGAACCCTTGGACACCCTGCTAGCTGTCAGCAATGGTATTGAATAAATGGAATGACCAACATACCTGATCGGCACACAGCCTTTTGTTACTCTCAACGTCACAATCGACGGCATAGAGAGGAACGAGGGGGTGTAGACTTTTAGCAGCTTTACTATACTCCGGAGCCATTCTTTGACAATGCTATAATGGAATCGATCCTGTATCAGTCACGGTCCCTTCCCTCGCGGTCCAGAGAACAGACAAAAGCTTACCCCACACCACGGGGCGACGAAGGCAACGACGCTGGTACGCTGGTTAGTGCTTTTGTTTAGAGACTGTAGAAATCGATCCGGATAGATGAGGTGACTTTACGTTTTCTTTCATGGCCTTTCTGAAACCCTTTGGATCCAGCATCTTAACTTGCGTGTTTGACGGGAAAATGGCAGCAGAGACCAATGCTGGTAAGAGAGCATAAACGAAAGTGATTAAGGACAACTTCATCGTTGCGGAAAACTGAGGTCTCGAAACAAATAATAGATCAGGAGAGTGGTAAGATGTAGAAACGGTCGCATGACGGCCACGAAACATGCATCCAAAAAAGGTGTGCCGCCACGTCACAGATTAGTTACAACGTACTCATCAAAAATAAATCAGTGGCCAACGTGGGGATCGAACCCAAGACCTTCGCGTTATTAGCACGACGCTCTAACCAACTGAGCTAGTCGGCCATAGGTTCATCTGGTTCTAGATACATCCATGAGACTCATCGTCCTATCTGGCTATCTTTCCCCTCCAAGTTAGCACACGACAACGACTTATGTGTGTACTCGTAGGCCATATTTGCACCCTAGGTTTCATGTCGTCGAAACACTTGTCATCTCGCCTGACCGCACGTTTAAGATAATCTCTTTACTATCCTCGTTCACCACCTCATGGCGACCGACTTGCATGACATCAAAGTACTGCTGTTTTGCCTAAAGCACGATTCCAATTCTAATTTTATATTAAAAATTCAAGTGTATCTACCTCTATCAATAACAAACCATCTACGACGAAAGAGTGCAATTAACACCCTTGGCAATCGCCTGACCCAAAGTCGCGTTGACGTGGTTGAAAATCGCGCACTGCTTATCCTTGATGGACTGGTCAGTGGCAAGACCGAGATGTCCAATGACATTGGAGATCAAGTTTGCCTGGTCATTCGCGGAAAGACCGTTCCACTATAGGTAATCGCGTTAGCAGGCAGGTATATCACCAAGACATCACCACTCACGAAGATACGGGGCAAGTCAAAGTCGATCTCAGAAGGCGTGCTGAGGTACTGGAGGGCAGTACCAGTCCAAACGGTGTGGTTCTCGTTTGGGTAGGGGTTCGGCTCAACGTTCAGAGGGTCTTGCTGAGAAACGAAGTTGGGACGTTTGCCCTGGTTGTTGAAATTCATGAAACCGTCACGCAGGAAGTTGGCAGTGGGGTTCAGAGGGCAGTTGATCTAGATGATATTTTTTAGTATTCAAACATTCAGGGGGTAATTAGGAAACGTACGGGGAGCTGCTTGTGGTTGACACCAATGCGGTAACGTTGGGCGTCACCGTAGGCAAACAAACGAGCTTGGAGCGTGGGGTCAACCGAGGAGTCCAAACCGTTGGGCTGTCAACGTCATCATATATAAGTCGAATCCCAAAGACGGAATGCAAGGACCAACCATCTGAGAGGGGTCGAATCCGATCTGCTCAATCTCAGCGAAGAAGTTGGTGCTATAATTCGCGACGCGTTACAACGAAGACATAACAAGTAGAGCGAATATCACTTACGGGTTCTGGTTAAGCACAATACGGCCGACTTCCTGGAGAGGGACATCATCGACGAGCCATTCCTTGGTAAGATCAAATATATTGTCTGTGGGGTAGAAGTAACTTAGCACGAATGGCAACGTGAATAGTACGTCTTAAGCATACACTTGTACGCCTCAGCCTGACTAGGGGTCATAGTCTGGAAGTAGATGGTCCAGCTTGGGAAGTCGCCAGCCTCAATGGAGTCAAAGAGATCCTGGACACCAAAGTCGGGGTTCTGGCCAGCCTGCAAGACGGCCTCAGCTTCAGTGTTGTTCTTCACGCCCTGGTCGGTGTAAGCCGAGATCCTGAGAGAGGAAGGGTTGTAGTCGACAGACATGAGAGAAAACTATTCAATACTCACTTGATATAAACGAAGCTACCATCAGCTTTGATAGCACGGAAGGTGTTGCCACTCCAAGCGTTCATATGTCTATCAGCCAATAATAAGAAAACCTACATCCACTGACGAAGCAACGACACAAACTGACCTGAAGCCGTAAGGGGTACCCAAGTCGGACATGGTACGCATGACCTGATAGATCGATTCGTTGTTTCCCGAGAGGTAATCTAGATTGGCCTGAGTCTAAATTGATGAAAATAAGGTTATAACCGCCACGTACCCCAGAAGTTCTAAATATTGCGATTCGACAGAATCAGTTAAGTGCGAGGCACAATGAAAAAAGAATCTAAAAATATTTACGTTCTTGTTCAACAGGTTGGTTTGAGGCTCGCGCTTCTGCGAACGAATGAAATCTAGAAAAGAAAATCACCAAGGTGGCAGCAAATCAACTGAAGTCGTCATAAGTATCAACACCTGACTAACGGGGGAATTTAACGGGGTCACGGAGCCAGAAAACAGGGTGGTTAAGGAAAACCCAATCAAGGATACCCTCATCCGTGCGCATCCTACAAAAGATACAAAATCTCATGGGAAACAATCTGCCAACGAAATGAAGGGACCTTACTTGAAAGCAGCGCCGCGAAGGTCTCTGACACTGTCAGCGTTACCGAGGTTACCGGCAATGGTTGAGAAACGTGCAGTCAGAGGAGTACGCTTTCCGACAGTCGAGAAAAGATCAGCCATGCTGTAGTTGGCACCAGTCGTGGTGGTGACTTCAAAGTACCCATGGGCTCCTCCACCTTTAGCGTGAACAGTACGTTCAGGCTACATATAGAAGTTAGATAAAGGCCATGCACATGCTTGAAATTTAGCTTACCACACGCTCACGAACGAAGTGAGCAATTTGTTCAATCTATTTCTCCACGGTCAATTCAGACTCGACAGGGATAAAGCGATTTCATTTACCAGATTGGTAGACTGCAGGAGAAGGGGTCCAGTGGTTCCCAAACGGTCCGCATACAGTGGGTTGGGATAACTGCATGTCAATCAGGACATGAATGACATCCGCAGCGTGCAGGTGAAGAAACTTACGGCTGACCACCTGACAGCGTGTACTCAAGCTTAGAGGCGGGATCGTTATACAGCGTATCCTGCTCGTTTGGTCCATCAAAGATGTCAAAGGGAGTGCTGGAGGTGTCTCGCTTTTCAGCAGAAGCGGCGGCGCTGGCCAAACTAGAAACGAAAAGGGCTGGAAAGGCTGCGAACCGCATTGCCTACTCTTGTGTCAGGTGGAGGGAAGGTACTTCTGGAGGGAAGACATCGAAAGCGACCGCCTTATAACGGCTGACGGAAACGTCAATGGAGATGACTTATTGGGGTAGCTGATAAATTTACCTTACAACCTTGACAACAGAAATCGTCTTTTCGCCGCTGGCAGGGATCCATGAAGTTTGATATGAGTCCCCTGAAAGTGAAGCGGTTGATTCGTTTGCGTTCCATCATGTAAAATTGCGATCATAGTCTTTTCAAAGGGGTAAGCGGTCCGCTTTTTTTCCTGTCTCGAAAGGTGATAGTCACGTTGTAGACGAGAATAGAGCTTAGTAGTCAGGCTAGCTAAGATTTTATTGCAAGACACAGGATAGTCTACTTGTCCAATTAAACGGTGTCGGAAGGCATTCGTGGTGGATCCTGCGCTTAAAGCAAGCGAAATAAAGCTTGGACAGAACATTAGCACAGGAAACTAAACAAATACTGGCAGACGCAGCGTTGACTTACTAGATTGACGAAAAGATGAGTCCGTAGTTAACGCTGTGAGTGAAGAAGCCAAGGCTATAAGTTTGAGCGCGCGGCAATCGAAACGTCGGTACTTGGGCGGCAAGAGGTGGTTTCTCTGGTCGCTTAGCTTGATCGTGCCGTCGGCCTCACAATGCGGAGACTGAAACAAAAGAAGGTCAGCGATCCAGTGAGTCGCAGCCGCCGTCTAAAGACTTTAAAGTCTTGATGAGTCGTCTTGGATTTAACCCAGGTGAAATGTGTTTATAATGTTCAAAATTTACTTGGGCATTTTATTGTTTTGCAAAATCTGCCATGTAAATTGTAGCGGCGCGAGGCGCCAATCCCCGACTCCGGTTTTGATTACCAAGAAAAAACAGTGTGTTTCAATTAAGCAGCAGTAGTTACATCATTTTTAGTAAGTAATGATCCCAAGATAATCAATGTGGTTACAAAAGCATCAAGAAATGGAAAGAACCCGAGGGCGACCTTATTTTACTGTGTAAAAAGAATATTTGTTGGACAAATGGAAGCGATATTTGTCAAAAGGAATGGTGAAGGGGATTTGGAAAGAGCACATAATTGAGGAGCAGACTGCAATGATAGCGAAGCATGCTGGGACAAGAAATGAGCCAGAATAGCCGACACGGCAGAATAGCGATTTTGTTTTTCCAGCGACTGACCAGATTGTTGTAACACTCTAGAAGAAACAGCTAGAAGAATAGGAGCTGGGAGAGATAATAGTAGAGAGGAATAATGATCGTACCCATAATTTAACCAACACGGATCGTCATTCAACACTCGAAGAGCAGCATCAGAAATTTCAGAAAAATCAAATTTATTATTATCAAGTTTATCATTATGCACCAACATAGACATATGAGAATACATGATTAACTGGAATAGCGAAATCAGCAGAACAGCAGAAGATGATTGGAGAAACTCACTGGAATGAAAATCCCTGAAGGTTGAGGACTCTAGATAAAAAAATGGATAGGGACAAAGTTGGTCCCGAGAGCCTGAGGATTGATGAGAAGGATATCTCTAAAGGACTATAACATTATAGATAGATAAGATTCAATCTGTCTATATACAGTATTTCACGTGACCTCGGTGGTATTTGCAGAGTGATAGACAGAGAGGCTGATTTTTGCAGCCGACGAAACCCTCCTCAACTAACATTTGAGCCGGGGAAATGCCTAAAATGACAGTGCAAATATGTACTTTTTGGTTCATGTGTTCAGTCATACTAAGATAAAGATTTTCATTCCCATTCTGGTAGTGACTGAAATAAGTCATTTCAAGGCCAATGAAACGTGTTGCCCACTGATCACCTAGTAATCACATATTCAGTGTACAACATCAGTGCATACAGTATATTTTACAGTGGTCTATTCACACTCAATACTATCTGTTACCTGTGAAATTATAGTAATTATATGCAAAATTCTTGATCTAAGTTCTGGAAGTCAGGAAAAGATCTAGCTTTAACAAAGAAGGCACATATGCTGTCCCAGTGGATATTTTGCAGTGTCACAGTGCCAGGGTGCACAAGGATAGGCCAACAGACCTCTTTAGTCAAGTGCGGGATATTGAATGTATTGAAGAACTTCCAAGCTTTGATGAACCAGAGGATAGCATATGAATCAGTCCACTGGCCATTTAGACCATCTGCTAGGACCAGCCTTTTCTTTGAGTTACACCGCTGTTTTTCCCTCCTCAGCCTCTCTGTTTGAGACAGTTGCACAGTTTACTAGTACCAGTTTGCACATGTGAAAACCAGCTCATCCATTTAAACAACTGGTTGTTACATTGCTGCTCTGGTTTTTGAAGGTCAAGGTAGCCCAAACATAGCACACAGCCTTGTAGTTCCTAGCTCTTTTATCCTTTGAATCCGACTCGGTTTCAAAACAGGCTGTTGTCGCCCAATTAGGGATGTTGTCGCCCAATTGGGTTGTCTGTTCCTGAGAAATGTCGCCTATTTTTCAGAGTCGTCGCCCATTATGGATGTTGTCTCCCAATTGGGTTGTCTATTCCTGGAAAATGTTGCCTATTTCTCAGTGTTGTCGCCCAATATGGGTGTTGTCGCCCAGTTAAGCATGTTGTGTCCCAATAACTATACTCCCCCGCGGACACATTGAACAAGGTCTATTAGTCAATAAGTGTGCTCCGGTTTGTGAAGCTTCAAGGCCGATGTTTATTTGTGCAGCCACCACCCGCGGAAGGCAGGAGAAGCATCCGCGGGCCATTATCTATCACTCCCAGTACAAGCATTCTGACATAATAAACAGTAGAACAAAAGAAATCTTATTCATGTATCTACGGGTCAAAAAGCACGCTCCGGTTTCTGAAGCTTCAAGTCTGAGTTTATTTGCAAAGCCACCACCCGCGGGAGACAGGAGAAGCATCCGTGGGCCATTATATATCCCTCCCAGTACAAGCATTCTGAGATAATAAACAGTAGAACAAAAGAAATCTCACTCATGCATCTATGGGTCAAAAAATGTGCTCCGGTTTTTAAAGCTTCAAGTCCGGGTTTATTTGCGCAGCCACCACCCGCGGAAGGCAGGGGAAGTATCCGCGGGCCCTTATCTACAACTCCTAGTACAAGCACTCTGACAGAATCAGCAATAGAACAAAAAGAAAATCAGCCATCTGTCTATCAGCAAAAAGTGCGCTGTTACGATCTCTATTGGACATTTAAGGACTACTCATTTCTTTTTACTCATCGGTTATACCATCTGACCGATGACTCATTTCCTTCACGTACACTTCCGTTCCTCTCGCATTCACAGTACCTATTATAGTACTTAGTCCTCAACAGACGGACCTGCCCTAGATAGGACCTAACTCCTATCACCGATTCCTTTCCATTATAAATACCATGTAACAGCAGTAGTATTCTCTAATACGATTCTACGCAGTTTACGCCTACAAAGCTAGACTCCTAAGATCAGACTTCTATTCAGAAGAAGACCAACTCCCGTTGGAAAACCTCCACTCAGAACTACGTTCTCGAACTTGTCTTTGGATAAGTCTCTTTACAAACCTCGACGAACCCTCAGACTTTGTTAAGCACTTCGTGCGTAACATGCGCTCCGGTTTTTGAAGCTTCAAGTCCGGGTTTCATTGCACAGCCACCACCCGCGGAAGGCAGGGGACGCATCCGCGGGCCATTATCTACAACTCCTAGTACAAGCACTCTAACAGAATAAGCAATAAAGCAAAAAAAATCTCACTCATGTATTTACGGGTCAAAAAGTGCGCTCCGGTTTTTGAAGCTTCAAGTCTGACTTCAAATGTACAGCCACTGCTCCGCACCCGCGGAACAAGCATGCAAGGGCTATTATCTATGACTCCAAATACACAGACTGTAATGAAATAAACTGTAGAGAAAAAAAAGTCTCAGTTATCTGTTTATCAGTCAAAAAGCGTACTCCAGTTTGTGATGCTCTGAGTCCGGGTTGACATGTACAGCTATAAATCCGCGCCCGTGGACAGAGCATGTGAGAGCTATTATCTATGACTCCCAGTACAAGAGCTATAGTAAAATAAACATCAGAAAAAGAAAATCTCATTCATGCATCCATGGGTCAAAAAGTGTACTCTGGTTTTTGAAGCTTCAAGTCCAGCTTTAAATGTGCAGCCACCGCTCCGCACCCGCGGACAAGGCATGTGAGTGCTATTATCTATGACTCCCAGCACTCAGACTGTAATGAAAAAAACAGTAGAAAAAAACAAAAGTCAGTCATCTGTCAATCATAGTCATACTACCTGTGATAAGGAAATGTGGCATAAGGCAGCGGTGAATAATTCTGTTCAAATAGCAAGTACATCCCAGCCAAGCACACAAGTAGTACCAACAAACTCCAGGATCACTCTGAGTCACCAAATAAACCAGTACCCACAGTCAAAGTCAAGGTTGCCAATACGTGAAATTCCATCAGATAGTGGATTTCAAAGACAAAGAATGATACAGAGCCCACGTGCAATCTGCCCCATACATGGACAATATCAAGGTACTAAATGACACAAAATAATACAAAAGTCATTCAAGAAAAATCAATGCAAAGTCCGTCCTGGATGGGAATCCATCGAAGATGACAGAGGGTAATTGATCGTACCACAGATGGTGACCCCAGTGCACAAATCACTCCACTGCAAGCCCAGGAATATACCAACGATGCTCAGGATCATCACAAACAAAGCCAATGCAAAATGTAGCAAAAGTGAGTCAAAAGAAAAACAGGACTTTTACCAAAAGCCGGGGGGAAATCAATCATACGCTAGTTAGAATCAGCGTCGGGAATGTAGTGATAAGCCCCCCTTGGGGGGTTGGGGGGGCCTGGTTAATATGTTAGAGTAGGACAACCACAAATACCAACAACACACAACAAAGCAAAGCAAAAAGTACGAACCAACCAAGTCACTGACAGTTCCCTTGGCCAAATCACCACTGCCATGCACCGTTGATTCAGACCAAATACAAGTCAAGGTG